AATTAAATTGCTTTTAACTCGATGGCTCTCAACAGAAAAAAGTTCTGAAACTACTGATCTTTGTCTTTTAAGCCCAGGGGAAAAATTAGTTAAAAATAGGCATTTTACAAACAGTAAAACAGTATATAAATGGATACTATAAAGTGCATTTCCATTTACTATTTTTACTTAAACTCAATAAACTACTGAAATTAATCAAAAAGATTGCTCACTCATCACACTTATCACATCATTAAAATACAATTATACCAGTTAGTCACAAGGGTGACCACGTGTGATCACATATGTGAAAGCACCAGGTCAAGACGAATGATAATGCTGTTCTTCACTCAGTTTCCACTCTGCTCCACATGAAGCACCTGCGATGAGTTGGTTATTACTATTATTTCTGTACGGCATTACTCATTTTTTTACTCATGGATCTTTTTTCATTCCTGGAAAAATCACAATGTACCAGGTAAACAATTTTAAATGAATTTAAAATTTTCTAACATTTCTTACCGATGCCAGAAAATATTGAACGGTCACTCCAGCTCCTTCCCCAGTCTTTTCCGTTCGTATTAGCATCCCCCGTGTCTTGACCCCAGGCGGATGGCTCCGCTTTCCTCTTGCCAGCAGCAGTGGGTGAGACAGAGTTCCACTTCTCCTCACCGGCACTCATCGGTGAGGAGAGTTTTACAGGCTTTTCATTCCAGCCTCCTCCATTTACAGTGAGGTTTTCATTCAATCCTGAAGAAACTTAGAGAGAGAAAATAAAGATTAAAAACGAGTACATGACTCCTTATTAAAACTGGATATTTTCAAATTTCTAGGATTGCTCAGTTTATATTTATCACTCATTATTTCCCCATACTGTCCTCTAAATAGCCTGGGCTCGAAAGATAAAAATAAAGAATTTAAACAGTGACATGACCATCATGAACAACTTTTAATTTAAAAACTAAGGGTGGGTTTGAACTTAATATATATTCACTAATGTTTTCAACAGCAGAATGAGCTGTTCAGAGGAAGTGCCACAGAACCACCTGGACAACAAGACAGTGTGGTGTACTCGGAGTGCTTACCCACCAAAATACAAAAGCCTTGCCTTAGTTACAGGTCAGTTAAATACTTCCCTATAATATGTATAAGGCAGTAATTCTAAAACCTGGCTCACCTTAAAATCATCTGAAAATTTTCTTTCTTTTTTTCTTCACGCACAGAAGAGGTTTATTGGCAATAGTGCTTATTAGAAATGAAAGTAACCTCATATTATACCCAGCCTGCTCCTAGACTTTTTTGTTATATGAAAATTTTCTTTAGACACTTGAGCCTCAGCCCAGATGAATTAAAATCAGTCACTAGGGGTGGAACCCAGACATTAGTATTTATGTGCACATATATTTGTATGCAGTTGTATGTGCATGTGTATCTGTATATATATAAAGGCACATAGGTGTGTGTGTGCGAACACAAGTCCATGTCCCTTTTTATATACATGTATGCTGCTTTTCTAAGCATCCTAGATGACTGTAATGTGCAATCAGGATTCAGAACCACAAGAATGAGAAAGCTGACAATGTTAAGAACAAGCCTACAAGGAGAAGGTGCCTTTTCATTCCTGAATTTAAGTTGTACTACAACACTTTAGTTTTTAGGTAAGGTGTACCACTCTATTTAATTCAATCTTTATCATAAACGAGTAAATAAAATATATTTTTTATTTGTGAAGCACTGTAACTTTAGCCTATATGCCACTTATTGTAAAATATTTGATAGTGTTAAGGAAGCAGTTTAAAAGGTTATAGGTATTAAGGCTTTTTTCTTAACAAGCAGTAGAAAAGTCTTTTACCCTCTATATGCCTTTATTAAACCCAAGTCCCCCCCTAGGTCCCCCAAACATCCTTTTCTCCATTGGCTTAAATGAGGCAAGCAAGAATCAAAACTGCATGTAAACTATTACAAAAAGAATGATTTTACATATGGAGAAGGGGAAACAACTAGAACATACCAAAGACTGTTAAAAATGGGAGTGATTTTACTTTTTATCTATTTTCCAAAATCTCTAGACTGTGATTATGTTACTTTAGTAATTAAAAATCATTAAGCTGCCCAGCCAGCGTGGCTTAGCGGTTGAGCATCGACCTACAATCCAGGAGACCTCTGTTCGATTCCCGGTCAGGGCATAAACCCGGGTTGCGGGCTCGATCCCCAGCAGGGGGCGTGCAGGAGGCAGCCGATCAATGACTCATCATTGATGTTTCTATCTCTCTCTCCCTCTCCCTTCCTCTCTCTGAAATCAATAAAGATATATTTTTTAAAAAAATCATTAAGCCCCCCCCTTCTGTGTCATTCATCCAAGGAAAGAGACATGTACGTAAGTTCCTACTTTGATGAGCCTTCATATTAAGTTACATGTAATTTCTCTCACCCTGAAGTGTAGAATCTCCTTTTCCAGACTTAAAGTTGCTAACTTGAACATTTAGATGAGATTCACCTGGTTGAAATAGAAATAAAGTTTATTTAATACTAAATAGACCACTATGCATATTAAATTAGGAGTAACATACAAATTAATTTTCTAACTATTTATAATAAATTGCTCTTTCAAACATTAAATTCTTTCACCGGAAAAGAGCCATTTTTACTCACAACGTATTTCACATTTCCTTAAGGAATTGAGTTCTTTAGTTTCCATATTCTGAGTCAACTAAAATTGTCAACAAAGGACCTGGAAACTGCCCAAGCAAATAGAGCCTGCTGTTCTATAATGGTTAATCAAGATCCTTTTGAGTGGGAGCTGGAGAACTGGGCACTGTAACTGGATTCCACTTTGTCACCTCATTCTGCCACCACAATACCAACTTCCATTTCAAAAAACCTGGTGGCAAACCCATCAACTAGATAACTTTGTTAGTATTTGGGACCAGGACTTAGGAAATGTGGCAAGAGGTGAAAACACATGTTTTAACAAAAATACTATTTCTCTGAAACTAAAAAGCATAATGATCACAATGTATTAAAAACTCAGCATGACACAGGACTGTCCTAGCCAGGAAGGCATGCATGAGACAACCAAAAAAGGGTGACCAACACAAACACTAAACTGTGGCTAACATGTAACAGTGAAAGTGGGTAAGTAGACATCACTTCTCTACCAAAGCAAAACTCCACCAAGTCATCAAGCAAAAAAAAGTAAAAGGTAACAAGCCTACGAAAGCAGTCTGGAGACAAGTGTGGGGTGGGGAGGCAACTGATAAAAAGGTGAAGAAGGGAAGTCAGTGCCTTGAAGCAAGCTGAACATGTGTCCCTCTGCAGACTGACATCTCCGGGGTAAAATGATGGCAACGTAAAGGGCTACCAAGAAGCATCAGAACTGCAAATGTGAACACTGGAGATACTTGGAAAGAACATTAGGTCAATAACCTCAGAAGTTCCAGTCTAGCTTCATCAAACACCCATGGTATTCTCAAACATCAGGTGGTAAGAAATCCAGACAGAACCCGCACTACCAGAATGTGCTTGTTTCATCTTGGAGTGAACGCACTCACATGCAGAATGATGACAAATAACTGCACTTAATGTACTGTCCACTATAAGAAATGGAGATGCAAGAGAGCTGGGGCAAAACGATACACAGGAGAAAAAAGAAGTAACATCATTTTCTCATGTGACTCAAGGCCATTTTAACAGGCCATTCATCAGGCAGTATGCAACAAGTAACCACTGCTGGTATCGGGCAAACCAACACGTGTCCGCAACGCTCTCACAGAGGGGTGTATCGGCACAGTGATGTAATGAGTACAAAATAACCAGATTTTGATGTAATGATATCTTGTACATCAGATTAAAAGGAGCTGGGTTTGATATATCACTCTTATGTTCCACTAATATACCTTTATTCTTCTTGGAACCAACAGGAAATGATGCAGTTGTAAGTTGCTCGGTGGTAACTGTGATGGTACTTTCTATCCCAGGGATAGTTGAATCCAGTGAACCTGAATCAGTCTGCACCTTATCACGTTTACGTTGTTGTCGTTTCTCTCTGTGACTAATTTTAGTTTCCCAGGCTCCTGACATAGCCCCAGAAAAAAAAAGTTAGTAAGGGGAAAACAAAATGTTGTCTTTTTTGGGGGGGAGAGGATGGAGCCATGCACACAAAATAGCATGTTAAATTTAGATATTAAACTAAAAACCAAGAGTGCTGATTATGTTTATTTATCCTAAGATTTATTCTAATCTCATTATATTGTTTTAGGCTGCTAACTGACATTATTCTCATAATTTTTATCAAATCTATCACCTATGGTTTAAGAAAAATGACACAGAAGTCATCTTGTTTATCTTTCTTTTGCTTAATTATACAGACAGGAGAGTGTGATACATAATTACTAATAAATGGGTTTATTAGGTGATAACAATAAATGGCTTACTCAAAAATTTTGTACACAGCCTTCTAGGGATAGCATATTTAAGAACAATGAGGAAAAGTCCAAACCATATTTCTAGAACACAAAGACAAAACATATGGCTTTTCAATTGCTCAAGATACTGAGCTAAACCTTAAGTTTCAAGGCAGTTCCTTTTAGGAAACTGTTAGATATTTAAATAATTTAGATTAAAAGGGTGTTTCCTAACAATGTCACAGATCTGTACATTAAGATCTACAGTTATTAAAAAGAAGAGCTAGATACAAGATTAAGCTAAACAAATGCAGCTTTGATATAATGCACCTTGGTAAAAAAGATTAAATTCTTTTCTATAGTCCTTTCACTTGTTCAAGTACCTTCATCAACTTCCTTTCCATCATGGCGTGAACTGTTTTGTGCTGCTTTAGCATCTGACTTTGATTTCTTCTTATTTTTCTTTGACTGAAAGTAAAATAAAATGTTACTTAATATTTCATGTTTTTGAAAAGGTAGGAGTCAGTAAAGTACATAATAAATGTATGACACTGACAACCAAAAAAATTAATGTTTGGTTAAAAAAACTTAACATACTAAAATGTCAGTAATACAAGGTTACCATTTATTGAGTGGTTACTACATGCCAAGTACTTTACACTTATTTTATTTATTCCTTAAAAAACTCAATGGAGAAGGTATTATTCCTATTTTAAAGATGAAAAAATGAAGACTTAGAGATGTTAAATGTTAAATAGGCTGTTCTGGGTCACACTAAGTTAGTAAATGGCAGAGTTAAATTTGGAAACAGGTTTATCTGGCTCTGAAGTCTGTGCCCTTAGACATCACGCTATCCTAACGTAAATCACAAATAAAGTACTAATTTGGTGTTTTTACAGCACTAAAGTAAAACCCTATTGCTAGTGTTCAGAAGAAAAATGATACACTGATTACTGGTGTTGGGTTTCATAAAGCAGACTGCTGAAACACCTATATATAATAAATTAATGAGTTGATTGTACAAGGTAGGTAATATTTTGTCAGTTTCAAAGCAATGTGAAAATACCTAGAATTCATATATACAGGATGGGGTAAAAGTAGGTTTCAGTTGTTCATATGGAAATAATTAATAAAGAATAATACAAAAATAAACTGTTTTGTATACTCACAATGGTAAGCCTACCTGTGTCCCACCTATAGTAAATGTTTAGTAATTCATTTAAGAAAACACACACAAGATATGGACATTTTCCAACGGCCTGCCAACTCCCTTCTGCTAATATTTTCTCCTTCTAGAAGCTTGCTAATAAACTTCTAAGGCCATGATTTCTATATTCAGATAAGTGTTTCCAGGAGAGAATTAATATTCATAAAACAGTGATTTTATTTATACTTTGTATTCACTCATTTAACTATTTATTGAGATTAGCTACGCACCTATTGTTGTATACTACCTTCAAGTTAAGTTTACAACTAAAAAGAGATTGTATCTTCATAAGTCCTTTTTATGGGTAAGCCATAAATGACAGCTAACTGCTTTTCCTATTAATAAACTACTTGCAAATATTCTCAAGTGACATGTAAAAGAAATTTTATCCTTTGCGACAGCATGGATGGACCTGGAGATTATTATGCAAAGTGAAATAAGCATAGGAAGAGAAAGACAAGTCCCATATGACTTCACTCATATGTGGAATATAATGAACAAACTGAACTACCAAGCGTAATAGAGACAGACTTATAGGTAGTGAGCAGGCAGACAGCTCTGGCGAGGGAGTGAGTGTTGGAAGGGGGGAGGGATTGAGCAAAAAAGAAAAAAAAGTAAAAACTCATGGACATGGACAACAGTGTGGTGATTGTGGGTGGAGGGGTGGGAGGAGGAGGAAGAGGGCATAGAGGCAGTAAATGGTGATGGAAAAAATAAATTTAATTTTTTAAAAAATAGGCAGAGAGCCAGAATGGCCAGCAGATCAGATCATGGTTCACCAGTTCTTGATTTTAAAACTACAGTTTCTGGACTGCATTATGGAAGGTACAACACAAACGTATGTAAGCTCTCTGAACGCAGGTATTCTCTATTTTGCTAAGAGCTGCTATCACTTAGGCGTGTTTAAAATCTACGCTGCCTCAGATAATTTTGTCTTTGGTCTTCTAAATACCGATCTCTCCTAGAGCAGTGGTTCTCAAATTTCTTGGTCATAGGATAGATACTCTTTTATGCTCTTAAAACATATTGAGGATGTCAAAGAACCTTTGTTTATGTGGGTTATATCTACTGGACAACCTTATGGAGACCAAATTTTATACATTTTTGCTTCTGTTGTTTCTGTTACTATTTTTACACTTTTATCTCAAAACCTTCCAATCATTGATGCACGAATAATTTGTTAATCATAAGTGTTGCACCGGTTTTACATCCTGATACACCCAATCTTATCTAAATTTTTATCTATCTCCACTCCACCCTGAGCAGTCAAACTTGTCTAGGGCTCTCCCTTGAGTGTGTCTGAACATGTTCTTTTGTTTCAGCTAAATAATGTCTGATTGTTTTCATTTGTTTCTCTCTCCTGTCAAAACTGGTCTTCCTCCTACTTATTGCAATACTATCCCCATCCTTAAGAGTCCAATTAAGTCAATCTTCAGGATACTCAGACAGGATAATCTAACTCCTCTGAATACCTGACACTCAATGCCTTGTTATCTGATCCCTCCCTGTGTGCTTGCCTTTCCTTAACTAGACTGTAATCTCTCTGAGGGTAAGTGTATCTTACATTTCTCTATTCCCTTCAGCATCTAGTAACACAATGCATTCAGCCTGGATCATGGTCCTATGTGATGTGTACTCTACCAGAGACTAGTTATCAATGAAGCATCAACCTTCATAACCAAATAAAGACCTTTATAGACCTGAGATCTATAACTCTTGTCATATGTAGTTTTCAGACGTTTTACCTATGAGGCTGACTTGACTGACAGGGCAAGGTATTCACTATCACAGCCTACAGTGCAATTACTAACTGGGCAAACTGTACTCCTCAAAGTGCCCAATATTTGGCTCTAAGAGAAAAACAAATATACAATGTGTATTAAGGTGAGTGAGTAGATCTAAGATGTTTGTTTACAAAAAAAAAAAAGTCTAGATATCTCACTTATTTTAAACATACAAAAACAATACAGTGCAATAGCATAAAAAACTACCTGAAATGAGTCTCACTTAGACTGAACCAAATTAAAAAGCATAAATTCAAGACGCAAGATGGCAAACAGAAACACTAGCCATGAGTTGTAGCATTTATTATTATGCAAAAAGTGAAATCAAATAGGCAACAAACCCAAAGTAGCAGCTTTGCACTGAAAGAGCAACAGCAATCGTGAGAAGGTACTGTCAAATGATTAAAAAGTGCCTGGGCTTTTGTATTAGAATGAACCAGGTTCAAATCCTAGTTCAGACACTGTATGAAACTAGTGAAATCACAAAATCCTTCTACACTTCAGAGCCCATATCTGCAAAACTGGCTATTCCTATCTGCCTGGCAGGTTGTGAAAGGATCAGAAATAGAGCAGTAAAAAGCACACACTTTTTAGTCAGATGGGTTTGGGTTAGAAGGGACTGTACTTTTAATAGCTTAAGTAACTTAAGCCTCAGGTGCCTTACTGGTAGATAGTATAACACCGCCTCCTCAGCGCTCTTGTGAAGATAAAGTAATGTGTATAACTATCCTATAAAGTCTTAAAAGTACACCCAGTAAGTGCTCAATAAGTTGTCCCTACCAGATACATGTAAATATATTCACAGGAAGACACAAACCTCACCTTACATAATGCCTGCTATATATCGACTGATATAATTATTTTCTATCACAAGAAATTTCAGAATAATTATAAACCTCAAACTGTATTTTTACATCCTGATACACCCAATCTGATATATGATTAATCAATCAAGAGATCAACGGTAGTTCATTAATTATTCCAACTACAAATTTTTCAGAATAATTCAGGAAGTGGAAGCAGGGGTAAGTACAGATACTCACTAGTGGAGACAAAGCCCAGAAACAAGAAACACTAAATGGGAGAAGTAGAAGTCTATCGGAAGCATATAAACCTTTCACAGTATAAAGTCACAACCCCTAAATTGTATGCTTATTTGTTGATAGTCATTTACTATTTATTTTTCTCCCAAAGACAAAGTCAGACATAAATTTAATTCTTTCCCACAACAATCCTTCATATTAAGCCACCCTACCTGCAACTATCTGAGCCGTAGGCCAATTTTACTGGGTTACAGGGGGAGAATTATTTCACCAGTTCTTCAGATGTGTTGAACTGCAAGCAATAAGAAACTGTAGCAACCATTTCATTCATTATTCTAGAGCTGGAGCTGCTGCACCCTGGTTCCTTGAAAACAGTTACCTATCTGTGATTGTTTTTTTTTTTTTGGTTTGTTTTTCCTGAAAAAGAGTTATGTATGCACGGGGTTTAAAAAAAGGAGAGGGGGAGTACAGAAAGGAATTAAATGGAACCTCTCTCTTCCACAACAGAAGGAAACACTGTTAACAGATTCTTGTATATTTTGTTTATTTACAAACTAAATTAAGTCAAATAAAATGGGTCAGTTCTAATACTGGCAAGTGGAAAATAATTAAAAGCCCAGGATTTGTTAGATTGTCTTATCTGAAAACTTATGAGTGCACATCCAAACATTGTAATATTGACCTGAGTATAGAGCATTTTCCTTTGTTAAAAAAGTCAAACCATGTCACAACAGAAATCTAACACAATACCATAGGACAATTTTTCTAAGCTTTTTAGTACCAGAAATGCACTATTAACAAAGGTAATACAATTTTGTTTTCAAATAAGAGGTACATTACATATCTGGAACCTTCACCACCCATCCATCCATCTATCCACTATGATAAATTTAGATCTTTGGTTTTCCTTGAATGGGGTTGGGGGTGTATGTACAATTATGTGAAACAGAAAAGCATCGTTTTTACATGTCACTCTCTATTAAGAGCCTTGCCTCTAATTTTATATGCTCCCAAACTTACCTTTTCATTTTTCTTATCTGTCTCTAACGGCTGCTTTGCTGTTACACTTCGAGGAGTTCGGACAACCTCCTCCTCAGCCACTTCAACAGTCCGTCCATTTGGCTGCACAGGCAACAAAAAAGTCTTTTGTTATCAAATCGCTTGGCAGATCAAACCAAAGATTTGTACTCAGGAAAAAGAACAGACTACAACCAAATTCTTCCCCCAACTCAAATTAAAAAGGTTTTTGCCCAGCCAGAGTGATTCAGTTGGCTGAGTGTCATCCTGCGCACTGAAAGGTTGCCGGCTGATTTCCAGTCAGGGCACATACTTGGGTTTCGGGTTCAATCCCCGGTTGGAGCACATACGGAAGGCAACTGATCAATGTTTCTCTCTCACACTGATGTTTCTCCCCCACCTCCTTTCTGTCCCTCTCTCTCTCTGAGCATGTCCTTGGGTGTGGATTAAAAAAAAAGAAGGTTTTTGTACAGCCATGTTATCTAATACCTGATGGGCCATTTACTAACCCAATACTGTTTTTTATAATAATAAACTTATAAACAAAATTCTGTACCACAAATCTATTTTCTGCCTTCACCCAGATATCAGTCCCTTGACCAAAAAATAATGGAATAAAAGCAGGAAAAAGAGCTAAACTGAATTTGCACTCTGACCACTCATCACCTGTGTAGTCTCAGAATATTTCACTCATCTTTTTTCTACATCTTATTTCTACATCTATAAAATGATAGGTCTGTTCTATTCAAAAACCACCCAACTTTTCCAGTAAGGGGTCAGATAGAGCCAGAGATGATACAAATGAATTTGACTATGTCCCCAAAAAATACAGGTGGAGGGCCAGGTCTGGTCCATGGACCATAGTTTTTTGGCTTCTGTATTAGGTAATCCCCAATGTCCCCTGTAATTCTACAATCTAATGGCACTACTGCTCTGGGAGTAAGAAGCTTTACAAATCCACTGCCAAAGCTTAAAAAGGCTACCTCGGCTTTCCTAACATTCCTGAAATAAATCCATAGCACTCAGAGGTAGGTGTTCATGACTAGAATTATGTGAATCCCAGTTTTGGCTTCTAATTATAACCACTAGTGTTGCTTTGTTTTTTAAATAAGTATTTCTGAGTCCCTCACTATTCAGAGTCAGGAATTTGAAGAACAGGCCCCAGGTAACTGTATTCTAACCCCTTCTTTCTGGACACTACTACTTTTTTTCATTTACCCATTCTCCTCATATTCAATACAACAAGTTACTAAATCAATATACTAGTTTCAACTGCTTTATTTCTAGGTCTTGCAGAATAGACTTCCATCAGATTACTCATTATAGTAGAGCTATACTCAAGAAAACAATGTGAAAGTTTCAAGTTTCTACAATGTGACATTATCGGCATTTGTACAAATTAGCAGGAATATGCAGTTGGAAAAGAGACCATTAATACTCTAAAGCCGAATTTATAGGCTTCCCAAAGACTTATGGCAGAAAAATCAAAACAAAAACTCTCTTTTAGCTGATTAAATTTCTAATTAATCCAAATTTAATCTGCTGGGTCTTAAGCAACATTTTAAAAAGCCCTTTTATTTTAGAGTCTTATTTTGAAGTAAAGCTGGCTCTTCAATTGTTTACAAGGTAATTTGAATTGTTAAAACTCCATTAAAAAATTTTTTTTTGTATTCCCCCTTTCAATCTTGGCTGCAAATCAGACAGAAAGCGTGAGCGAGGTCCCTTTATTCTTGCATCTGCACTGAAACCTAAGCAGCAGACAGTAACTGCTCCAGGTCCGTCAAATTGATGCATTTTAAACAACTTGTTCAAGTCAGACAGCTAATGCCAAAACCAGGCCTGCTCACTCTTTCTTCTGGTTTTCTTCCTTCTGCGCTGTGTTGCCATTTTAATGCTGCCTCATCTAATCTCTGCGTGTGTGGGGGAGGGGTGCGTCTTGAGGGGAGGGGCATAGCACAAAGGTAAGAAACTCCACAAATGAGTTTGGACTTAAGAGCCATATCCACATCAGGAATAGAAAACTTTAATTCTACTTTCCAATATTACCTTAACTTGTCAATTTTCATGCTATTTCTTAGTTCATGCTACTCTCTCTAGCCAAAATTACTACTTCTGATTTCCTGCGGACAGCCGCGCCTTTCTATGTAAGCTTTGCCAACTGAATGACCTTGCATCTCCAACTGAAGTTTCCCATCTCTTTAACTGGCAGCTCACAAAGCTTACATCTGCAAAAACTTCACTCAACTAATCCCTTCAGGAAACTCTTCATCATAGTCACTTACAGAGCGCCTCCATTTTACTCCCCTAAATGACTGCATTGTCACATTTATTAACTAACTGCTAAAAGATGAGAAATTAGGTGGTTAAAAACTATCTTAACCTACTAAAATATTCAATGCAATCAATTCCTTTGAGAAAAACTGCAAACACAGTCCTTACAGCCTCCCAAGTAAAAAATGGAACAATCTTTCCTTTTAAATAAATATAGTCTGAAGTCCTCAATCAGTGACCAGCAGTGGGAACACTGTTTCTTCTTCACAGGCTCTGAAATGATCCCCAAGCCAAAGGCACTCCAACCTGTGCCAATTTTACCTCCTTCTTTGCAACATCAATTCATGTAAAGGCTATAACTGTAGCTGTTCTCTCTGGTTTATGCAGATTTCCCAATTTTTCATTAGCTCTTGGGCTTTATATAGCTCTCATAATTACTGGGATTCCATAAGTCATCAACAACTGCCCACAAAAGCCTGATACCATATTTAGCCTCCTATTCCAAGAGTAAAGGCAACAGAATTCTGGGGTAGCAGGAAAAAAGGACACACCATGGTGGCTGAGCCTCTCCTACATATCCATCAGCAACACTAATCTGTCCTCTAATTCTGCCACTAACTGGTTAAGAAGGTCTTGTTCTGAAAAATTAACAACCACATTTAAATTAGCATATCCCTAAATGAAAGCATATTATGTAGACCTGCTCACATGAAAAGCAACTAATTGCAAAGCAACACTTCAAATCCAATGTGATTGCCAATCTGGGTTTTATTTGCTCTGATCATGGAGCCTTAATATATACCGTGTTTGGACAGATTAACAATTACACGGGCCTCTCACTGTACCTAGTTTTAAATTTTCTGGAAAACTTCAAGGTGCTCCCCTCCAGGACCAACCGAAGTTAATTTCATATATAGCATACAATCTACATTTTAAATTAGACCACCCAAGAATGTCCTTCAAATTTGGTGAACATCAACCAGTAACAGAAAAATATCATTTCTTATGGAAAAACTTGCTGTAGGCAATGCCATGTCTGTCTTATTATTATTCCTTCCCCCAACTCCCACCTCGGATCCTTTTAAAAATTACCTTCACAAAAGAAAAGTGTGCATGTGTGCCTGT